GATAACGAAGAAAATCATCTGTACCCTTTTTCTAATCAAAAGAAGAAGAAAGAAGAAAAGACGGCTTGGGAAAATGTCACATTACAATTCTCACGGATTACCGGTCCCAAATGAACGCGGCATGTCAACGTTGACGTCGCATCCGTCGGGCGTGGCACGTCTTCTAACCGTTCAAACGGGCCCTCGTGGGGAATCAGCGCTAGGGCGAGGGAGAAAGAGAAGATTCTGACCCGGGGAAGCTTTCCGATGTGCAGAATGAAGAAGGTTTTTTTCAATGGTGATATTACTCATTCCGTTTGTTGCTGCTGCTGCGGTTGATCATTGTTTGACAGGATTGTTTCCATGCAGCAGCATGCGGAGGTAGATCCGGTAAAACTTGCTTTCCTTGAACGGAACCCCTTTCATTCACAGCGATCCATCCATCAAGGTACCAGCCATGTGTCACCCATGGATGGATGGCTAACAAGGCTAGTTCGGTGGTAAGGCAAGGCAAGGCAAATCATACATCCGTGCGTTCCGTCTGAATTGTCCTTGCTGGGCCGCATCTCTCTCCAAAGGCCCGAATACTACTCCTACCTACTCCTACTATACAACTACTTTTTGGGGCTTTGGGGGTGTGTTACAACCACCATGGAGAGTATGAGGTGTCGTCGTCAAGACCACATGGCAATCTGAGACAAAGTTGTTACTGGCCTTGTTGGACGTGCCGTGCCAAGATTTTCTTCAAGTGATGAAGAAACCGGGAAAACCACATCACATCACATCACATCAATATACTTCTCCTTGGCTGACTGCCTATCTGTTCCCAGAGTTCACCAAACTCTGGTTACATGCACGAACATCCTGGGGAAAATTAGGTTTGGGTTGTATTCCCCGTTTTGTTTGCTTCATGCCGATTGGTAGCGTTTGGGTTGTCTAAAATAGATACATATGTACGAACGGGCATGCGCGACGGGTTGATTTGCAATGCATATCCATTGACGGTTCACACACGAGCAGCCCCCAACAGGAGGTTGTGTTACGGATGGGATGGACGGCCCGAGTTTATTACATTTGTGTATTTTGTTTCGTTTGCAGCAGTTTTTTTCTTTACGAGCAAGTATGGGATGAAAAAACTGACGCTAACAGGTAAATGTCAACGCGGGCCGTTGGTGCGTATGCATATATGCGCGCTCGGGCGGGATGGTACCGAGAAAAATTACTTTTACAATATCAATTTCGTTCGCATTCACCCCCCTCCGTCATCACGTTCAAACGTTCATCAACAGAAAACGGAACTCAAGATCACGTGGTATCTTTTTCAATATCAAAAATGAGGTTATCACTAATCTCAGATAGGAAGGTTTATTGGGGAATTTATTAACGAGATGAGAAAGAAATCATGACCAGACACGTGGGGGTATTTTAGTCAAACTGATCCCAAACCCCAGGTTTTTTAATCGGTTCGATTTGTTTAATTTCCCAGTTATCTGGGATTTATATCAGCAAGGGAGGAGGATGATAATGATGATGATGAGAGATGGTGTGATGGTGACGGACAGGACAGGCGATGAGGCTGCTGCTGGGGTGAGTTTGTCTGTGATGAAAATTTTCTTTTGATGTCGGTCCGAGATTACTTTTGCTTCACCTTACGCTTTGTCCCGTTTTTTATTGACTTTTCATCTTGACAGATAACGTGTGTGTTCTAACCGAAACGAACTGGGGACCGTGACGGCTGCCTCCCACCTTTCTTCTCCCACACCTTGACAGGGTCGCAATGACAGCCGTTGAAGAAAGAGAAAAAATCCTAGTGTCGTGAGCCGTCCCCCTGCTAGGCCCCGAAAAAGAAAAATACACTAGTTATGTTACATTAGCTCAGGGAGATACTCTACGGATTAGGATATACCTTCCGTTCGGTAACACCATCCATCACCATACCCCCGGGGCCCCGGACAACCATACAGGTCGAACAAAAAATGACAGTTTGTCAAAACTTCTTCACAAGGCGGGGGGATATGATCATGGGGGGAGACAGACGACCGTTTTGAACCCCTAAAAGTGGATTTTTTCTCGATGAAGGACAGGGTTGAGATACCCATGTTTGAAGATTTTTTTCGACTTGTTTTGGGATAAGTGGTTCCAGGGAGCCGGGCCGGTAGAAAGGGTTTGAATGCGACGGGCAGACCGATTGATCGGTAAGGGCGGTGAACGGGCGGAGGGGAGGGCTCACCTGAGGTGATGCCGGTGTGCCGAGGGATAGTAAGGGGCGTTTGCCGAATGTTTACAGTGGATTCTTTTTGGGCGTTTGGGAAAAGGGGTGATGATGATGTCGTTGTGGGAGTAGGATGGCAATGGGACTGGGAGTGGCTGGAATGGTGGCGAGACTATGACGGGGGTGGTGGTCTGTGAAGGGGAGTTTGCGGTACGCTAGGAGGGTATGTGTTGTTGAACAGTTTCTCAGCCGGATGTGAGAAGGGTTGGGCTGGGTCATTCTTGGTTGGACAAATAGATGGTGTTGTGACGGTGAATAGGGGGTAAAGGGGGACGGTGCCTCACAGAAGCTGGCGACGTCATTGAAGTGCATGAGAAAGATCAACTCAGTTGTAGTCAGGGGAGTAGGAATTCTTAGATGCAAGTAAAGGTCATGAGAAGATTGATGCTAAAAGGGTTGGTAAATGTATATCGTTGCTCGAGAGACACAGTAAGCAGTTGGTAAACAAATTTCACCCACTGACTGTGTCTCGCTTCTTGTCAATGCCCAAGCTCGTATCATGCGTTTGACATATTCGTGATCATGACGAAGTAGAGAGCAGGCTTGATATTAATTCCTGTTTGCAAGAGGCATATAACCGCATCGTTTCCCAATCGATTTGTCGAGTTCACTACCTGTATCCTTGTTACCTACACATATCTATCTCCCCACGGTGGTTTAGATAGGGACACGGAAAAGCATTTGTAGCATTCATCCCGTATATAATGCCAAATTAATGTCCAAGTCATTGATCAAGTTCTTTCTTGTCAAACAGGGGTCGGAGAGCAAGATGCATCTTCTATGGTCGGGTAGTGTCCAAGTCGTTGAACCCAAGCATCGAAATTTCTGTGATAACATCAATCCCGAGATGTATTATATTTCTTGCTGATACCCAATCTTCTGGAGAACAGATAATGCTCTGAGATCCCTTTTTAGTTCTCACAAGGTAAGTCGAGAATGAGCAATCACCCCTCTCATGTTTCCATAAACGGGAGTAAGTAAACAATGCCTAATTCTCTAATACCCATATCATCGACTGATGGCTATAACATAGACAAAACTTAATGATATATATAGTCTCAGCAATACTTAATAATAGGGGTTCACTGACGGGATGCACCAACAAATTCATGCAAAACAGTTTTTCCCCTTGCTTCTTCTCAAGCAATGCGTCTTAAACTGTATTCTTAGTCCTCGAAACGCATTATTGTTGCTGATGATAAAAAGCAAAAATATCTCGGGATTGCCGTATGAGAATGCAAATATTAACCTTTGTGTCATAAACGAGAAAATTATGGTTCATGATCGTGATGTGTATATGCAAGAGGATACAAGTTATATGTACGTATCGTGAACAGATTTACCATTGACCTTTTTTAAGATCTTCCTGTCCACTTTCAACTATCTGAACTTTAGTACGATAAAAATAAAGGATAATAATACTGCGAGATTTCTAGGTGTTTTTGTCTTGCTTTTGATAGTCGGCTCTGAAATTACTTAAATATAATATGTTTTCAACTCGATAAAGCTCATCAAATGCCTGTGATATGAAATCCCGACTGCGAAGCACTTTCTCTGTCTATCATGGACCATTTTTATTCACTTTATATCTCATACACCAGAACATATCCGAATATGTAATTCACAGATACAAAAAATGCTCAATCCTTGAACTGTCAAGTAATAAAACCCCCTTCTCATTCTCTTCAAAGCATCAAGATTTTCCGCCAAACCTAACCGCATCCAAGATACAGCACATTATATAAACACGCAAACACACTCTCGAAACACTCTCGAAACTTATCCATTCCACACTTTAAAAAAACTTCAACGCTTCCTTCTTTCCTTTCTCCTCTCCCTCCTCCTATATAAATAAATGCTCAACTGAAAACATATTACCAAGACAACAGAAAATCTAACAAACAAATAAACAACCACAGCCAACGTATTAAATTAACCTTTTACAACCCGACCAAACCATACAAATTACTACCCCGTTTCCTTTACTCTCATTCTATCTATCTTTTATGTCTCAATAACATTATATAACAAAACTAAAAAGATAACAACAACCCTCTTTTCAAATCAATATATAAACAATGACATTTCCCAGACTTTAAGTTCTTGCCCTCAACATAAATATTCTCACACTCTATCTACACACACGCTCCCATCCCCCATACACCACCACCAACACACTAATACACACACCCACCTTCCAAACCCCAAATCCTCCACAGCAGTATAAATGCAAACAAAATAAGAAAAGCTCAACATCACAGAAAAAACAACAATCAGAAAAGATAAAAAAAAATAAAAAATAAATACCAAATGCCTGCGTCAGCCGCGAATCGAACGCGGGGCCCATCGATGGCAACGATGGATTTTACCACTAAACCACTGACGCTTTTATTGAGAACGGGTTGCGTAGTTGTTTGGTTTTGTTGAAAATGTTGCTGCAGTATATTCTTATATAGTCCTTTTTCCTATTATATAAAACTTTCTTCTTTTTCCTCACTTTTCTGAGCCCCGTCGAAAAGAATATTACAAATAATAACCAATCATCTGAACCAAAAACAACCCAAGCAAGGGAAAAGTAATATTAAATTATAATAGGTTTTTCAGATAAAGCTACAAGAAAAAACAAGACTGATATCAATATAAATATAGACACACAAACACCCCTTAACCTCAACTCCTCTAACAAGAAAACATATAAGAATAAAATCAATATGCAACAAGTGAATAAGCAAGAGAAGTAAAAAGAAGATGCGTCAGCCGCGAATCGAACGCGGGGCCCATCGATGGCAAGTTGGCAACGATGGATTTTGCCACTAAACCACTGACGCTTACGGATCAGTTATTGCGCAAGAGAATACTGTTGTATAACGATCTGGGCAAATACGTCTTTATTCAGTCTGTTTTCTTTTGTTCTTTCTATTTCTACCGAAAACACACTTGTATATATTTCCTTCGAGTCAACCTTTTCTTTCTAGCTTTTCCTTCCTTGCCTGAAAACAAACAATAATTATAAAAAAGAGCCCAAGCAAAGTGAAAAAATGATGGTGGTAAACTTGGTATCAGAAAAAGAAAAAGCATTAATTAAATGAGGAAAAGAGATATAGCTTATTAGAATCTATATGCCACAAGGAGGAGGAGGAGAGAGTGCCTAAAAAAACGAGAGCGTCAATTCACACTATGATCAATAACCTCCTACACTATGGGTACCTCAAAGGAATATTTCTTCTCAGGATTGCCACTCAAAGCCAGAATCTTTTATAAGAAAAAAGGGGCCATAAGAGGCTAATAGACTATTTATTTTGTCTGGTAATTTAATATCTTTGAAATCTTTTGTGGTGGAAGAAATACTTGGTTTTGAAGACTTTTGTAGATGTAGCTCTTTTGACAAAAAACGTAGTTGGGTTAGGGTTAACTATGGAAATCATCGTGAAGGAGGTCATCGATTATAGTGTGAATTGACGCTCTCAAAAAAACATGGAAACCCAAACAACAAAATTCTACCCGTGACAGACACAACAAACCAACTTGGAGCAAACATTCATCCACATACACAATAATACAAAAACAAAACAAAACACAACTCTATTCATCTACCAAAAACCCCCCTATTCATACCCTCCCCTCCCCCCACCACCCAAAGGAACATACCTAGCCACCTCCCCAGCCAACTGATCAGCAAACCACTCCACCGGATTAGCACTCAACTTCGCCGTCTCCGCCGTCGTCAAAATCGTTTTAATCCCAACCCTAACATCATTAGACTGAGTGATCCCTCTAACAGCTTCAACAGCCTGTCTCGTCATCCCCTGATCCTCCCCAAACGCCTTAAACTCATTCAACGCCACTTCCAATTCCCCAACGTTCGACACAGCCGGAACGGGAATCTGTCTGTCAAACGCCGTAATGATATCCAATTGCTCCATTACTGATCTTCTCGAAGTAGTTGCCAGGATCAACAGTCTATGACCCTTTGGTGGTGGAGTTTGGAGAAGCGTAACAAGAGCCTGAAGGATAGAATTTGAAAGACGAGGACCGACTGGGTTCCATTCTATTATCCGTTCAATGTTGTCTATCCCCAATAATCAGTACCATGTCAAAAGAGTAAGAGTAAAAAAAAACAACATACCAATAATAAGCATACTCAAAGGACTCTTATAAGCATCAGTAAAAACCTTATGCAAATGATCCTTCTTCGCAACCTCATCCCTAAACCCAACCATCGAAGCCGGCGTAATCAGCTTAATAAACGGATAATCGCTCTTCATCGCAATATAAGCCGCCAAAGCAGTCTTGCCACTCGCAGGGGGTCCAGAAATCAAAACCGAAGTATGTCTCAACCTGTCTTGTTCCCTCACATTCGCAACATACAACATTGCATCCTCCAAAATCGCACCAATGCTCGACGAAAAATGAATAATCCCATACGGCATCGCCTCTTCCAATTCCGAATCATCCGCGCCAAAGGCAGGTTTGACTTCTTCCAAAGCGTTCAAAAAGTCCTGCATTCCAACCTTCATGTTCACCACGTCCTCACTAACGCTCGCCGTCGTGCCAGCCTTGATATTTCTCGCAAAGGCAAAAGAAGTAGCCGACTTGACCAAACCGCTCAACTCCGCACCAGAAAAGTTCTTGGTCTTTGCAGCCAGTTCCACAATATCAACATCGCTTCCCATGACGTTATTCTCCTTCATCTTTGAAGTATGAATCTTGAGAATCTGCGATCGACCAAACTCATCAGGCAGAGAAATCTCAATCTGAACCTCAAGACGACCAGGACGCAACAGAGCATCATCAATCATGTCCTTTCTGTTGGTCATTCCGATCAACAAGATATTGTTGAGCTGATCAACACCATCCAGCTTCGAAAGCAACTGATTGACGACGCTGTCGCCCACACCTGTACCTCCTCCAGCCCCTGAACCTCTCTGCTTGCATACAGCATCTAATTCATCAAAAATAATGATATGCAAACCAGATTCATCTCCCTTTTCTTTATACTCCTTCTCGGCATCCGCAAACATTTTACGGATATTCTCCTCAGACTGACCAACATACTTGTTTAGAACCTCAGGACCATTGATAATCTTTGGTTCCCTTGCGTTCAACATCTTGCCAATCTGTCTAGCAATCAACGTCTTTCCCGTCCCGGGGGGACCATAAAGCAACATTCCCTTGACGTGCATAATTCCCAACTTCTCAATCAATCCAGGTGGGAAAATACGGGAAGCAAAAGCACGTCTGAAAATAGTCGAGAATTCCGCGTCCAGACCTCCAATACCCATATCCTCAAACTTGAAATCAGGACTAATAATCGCGTTTGCAGCAGGCCGCTTGTTCGAAGCCTTGAGCTTCAAGGGACTCTTTGCGTCTTTATAAAACCCGATAGAAGTTTGATTGTAGAGAATACCCCTCGCTCCTGGATCACTCCGAGTAGGTGCTTCTTCTGCTGCTCCGCCGCTCTTCATAGTCAAATCTGTCAAAGTAACAGTCTTGACCGTGATTGCAAGTGGAATATTCTTGACGTCGAGAATCAATCTCTGACCGGGAGCAAACACTTGATTCTGAAAGTTCTTGATGAATTCATCTGCGAGCTCGTCTTGGTCGTAAGGCGCATCGACGAATTTTTTGAGAGAAGCAAAACCGATTTCAACGTCCATTGAACCGAGGTAGGCGGAACCGCCCTGGCTGAATACGTCGTAGATCTCGCCGACTACTTCGTCCATCATGCCTACTTGAAGCCATGTTCTCTGGGGATCGGAGAGGGAAATACATCCGTCCGGAAAGCCGGGGGTTGGACGGGCGACGATTACATAGTCGCCTCTGATTTGAGAACCTGTGATGCGGATGTAGAGGTCGGAGCCGTCGCGGTTTGGGGGGAAATCGTTGGGGGAGACGGCGGAGCTTTGCAGATAGTTAGTGGATTGCAGTTGGTTTTTTTTTTTTTTGGGGGGGGGGGGGGAAGAGAAGAAAGCTCACACGTTGCCGTAAATGTACTTGGTTTGCAAGGTCTTGTCTTCGACTTTGGCAAGTCTGAGCCGTACCTGACGACTGCCACCACCACCTCCTCTAGATTGTTGTTGAGGCGCGCCGTATCCAGGGGAATCGTAACCACCGCCGCCGCCGTAACCGCCACCACCGCTGGGTCGTCCGCTGCTTCCGTAGCCATCTCCTCCGTATCCTCCTCCGGCGGAAGGAGGTTGTGGTCTTGTTTGCTGTGGGGGCGCGCGACCGCCGTAGTTGTCATAACCGGTAGGTGCTGGACTGTAACCATCACCGCCTGGGCGCTGACCCTGACGGCCTGGTAAGCCTGGGCCAGGGCGGGGTGCGGGAGGACCGGATCCAAAGAGTCTGTTACGCGAGTCCATGTTGTGTGTGTGTGCGCTTGTGTTTCACGAAAGAAAAAGAATCAAGAGAAAGGATTGAGGAAAAGGATCGAGGGAAAGGATCGTCTTTTATGTTGGGAATCAGTCGGTGTGTGTCGTGTCCCCAATCGGGAGGGTGGATTCGTTGGAGGATGGATCTTGTTGGGAATGCAATCTGACTTTTGAGCTCTACACGGTAGAGATCAGCAGGCAGAAGGGAAAGTGACACCAGAAAACCACGTTGTTTATAACAAGTTGGTATCCGTAAATCTTGCAGGTTTTGTTATGAGCTTTGGAGTCGGTTGGAACAAGTCACTGTTTCAAGCTGTCTGCGCCCCGCGATTATTGGGGATCTTACAAGAATTAGGGGTCTTGGAGGCACAAAATGAGGGGTTAAACTGTAGCAGGCTAAGCGTTGCCACTCCAGCTCCTTTTCTTGGCTGCCTATGTCATTGCAATCCGCACAGTGCATGCAGCTTCATTGAATCCATCAAGGTTCCTCTTTACACTACATATCACATTTCACCACTCACATCATCTTATTTTTAGAGTCATAAAAATGCCACTGTAAGTATTTCCCCCTCATTGTGTGACTCTCTCAACCAATTTTTCTAACAATTTTTGATAGTCATTTATTGGGCAAAAAGTCATGGAACGTCTACAATGCAGACAATATTGCTCGTGTGCGCCGCGACGAGGCAGCAGCAAAAACCAAAGAAGAGGCTGAGGAGCAACGTATGCAAGAACAAGATGCAGCTCGGAGATTAGCTATTTTACGTGGAGAGGTACCTCCAACTCTTGAACCATCGGCAGCGGCAACAGAGGACCATCTTCCTTCCCCTCATTCATCATCTGGTGGGGTTCGCAAACGTAAGCGCGCTGGTGAAGATGACACGGATTTTGAGATGCGTCTTGCAAAAGAGCGTGCAGAGGTTGGGAGTCGGGCGACGAAGGAACTTAGGGCTCCACCGTCGTTGATTGACAGCAAGGGACACATCACTTTGTTTTCGGAAGCTGATATACCTCAAAAGAATGAAGAAGCGGAAAGGGAAAATGAGCGAAAGAAACGGGAGTACACGGATCAGTATCAGATGCGCATGGTGAATGCAGCTGGGAAAGATGGACAGGGGCTTACCAAGGAAAGACCATGGTATGCAAGTGCTGATGGGAATGCACTGACTACTGTTCCAAGTAAGAATGTATTTGGGAAGGATGATCCGGGGAGAAAAGTGAGAGAAGCTACTAGATTGGATTCTAGTGATCCGTTGGCTATGATGAAGAGGGGAGCTGCCAAGGTGAGAGAGCTGGATAAGGAACGGAAGAGGGAAAATGAGGAGAGGGAGAGGGAGTTGGAAGCTTTGAAGAGGGAGGAGAGGAGGGAAAGTAAGAGGAGAAGAGAGGAGCGGTCTTATCGGCGGGAAGATGGGCCGAGAAGTAAGGAGAGGCATAGGTCTAGGAGCAGAGGA